GTGTGTGTGTGTGTGTGTGTGTGTGTGTGTGTGTGTGTGTGTGTGTGTTTGCCTATCTATCTGAAAATATCAGAAAATAGTAATTTGAACATCCTTGTGATTAATCTTTTGAGTCAGCCTAATGGCTGCTACAGCCAACTGGCAGTAAAAAAAAATCAAAAATGTCTAAAACATGGTCAATTTAGCAGCACTCAAAGAGAACACTGATCCCTAACAGATCGTACAAGAACTTTGTTTAAATCTTTGCTATTAACTATATATGAGGCAACTCTATCTGTCTGTTAGCAAAATATCTTGTGCACCACTGGACGTAATTTTCATGAAATTTTGAGTAAGCTGTCACTGGATGTACATCTGCACCCGATTTAAGGTTTGGAACCGACCTAATTCAAGATGGTCACCACAGCCAAATCACGCACCAAAATTTGATTCGGCCCAGTTCTGGCCCACTCATTGCACTTTAACAGCAGTCCCAGATACCACAATAAATGATGGCCCTTTGGTGGCCCAGATGTAGAAGTAGTCCATGCATGAGCCATCACCACATAAACCAAACCACACCTGGATCAGTTGTGGAATTGGCAGATTTGGTCTACATAAACCAAACCACAACCAGGCCAGTTGTGGCATGGACAGATTTGGGCTATATAAACCAAACCAAAACTGGGCCAGTTGTTTCATTGACAGATTTGGGCCACATACGCCAAACTACAACTGGGCCAATTGTTGCATTGACAGACCTGGGCAACATAAACCAAACCACAAGTGGGCCAATTGTGGCATTGACAGATTTGGGCCAAATAAACCAAACTACAAATGGGCCAGTTGTTGCATTGACAGACATGGGCCACAAACGCCAAACTACAACTGGGCCAGTTGTGGCATTGACAGACTTGGGCCACATACACCAGACTACAACTGGGCAAGTTGTGGCATTGACAGACCAGGGTCACATAAACCAAATCACAATCAGGCCACTTGTGGCATTGGCAGATTTGGGCTATATAAACCAAACTACAATGTGGGCCAGTTGTTTCAATGACAGATTTGAGCCACATAAACCAAACTACAATATGGGCCAGTTGTGGCATGCCATCTTAAAAACAGTGCCATACACCAAGATGGCCGCCACAGCTAATCAACAGTAGCCAACACAAAACTGGTTGTAGCTCAGTTTATTTTACAAAGCTTGAACTAAAATTATGTCTGGTAGTAGCCGAGAGTCATTCACAGTATACATTCCAGACATCCTGCATTAGTGTATGAGATCACACCTTTAATTTAACATGTTTGGAATTTCTCACAGTTAAAAATGAGTAACAGTCTGCATAGCCCAATGTTTAAAAGACTTTTGTCTGTAAATGGCAAGTACGATGGTGAATCATTAGCCACAAATGATGCATAAACCACAATTCAGACAACAAAAGGAAAACCAGAAACTGATCTTTTTGCTTTTTTGAAATTTTTTATTCCTAGGTGGAGCTTGAAATTCAACGGATTTCCGAGGCTTATGAGAYGCTGATGAAAGGCTCGGCAAAGCGGGAAACTCTTGAGAAAACAATGAGGAATAAACTGGAGGCGGAGCTTAAGAGGATGCATGACTTCAACCGAGACCTTAGAGGTATGTTGGATGTTTATCTGTCGAGGCTTCTCAGGGTGACATTAGAGTGTGTGCTAACCGCTGTGGTATGTTTTCTGTGCAGAACAACTCGACACAGCTGTCAAACACCGGGCGGATCCCAGGCAACACGTCTTCGTCAAACTCCTGGAGCAAAGTGAGTCTGCATTAGACGTTCTGCACCTTCCACACCACAAGATAAATGGTGGGATTTGTCAAAATAGACCTCCCTGTTGAGGACCTAACAATGGCGGGAGCATAGCTGAGCAGGGATTGGTTTCCTCCTTCACTGATGACATGAATGGCTCAATCTGACGCCAAAATAAATACCAGACATTTTTCATCACTGTAGTCAATCTGACCTACATTCCAGGATTTGTTTGGTTTGGTTTGCTTGGATTCTTTTTATTTTCTTTTTGTATTTATACACATTCTACCGTTAGAACTTATATTTATCACCCACTGCAAGAGGTGGATGGTAACGTTTTTGTCTATGCATGAGTTTTTTAGCAAAATATCTGAAGAACCACTCAACAAACTTTAATTGAGTTTGTAGAAAGTCATCTACAACTAGGGGTGTCCTGATACCAGTTTTTCTCAAACCAAGTACATGTACCTCAGTTTGGGTACTCCCAATACTGATTACTTACTGAGTTACAACAAACTTTACACAATGACTTTAAAAACATATTTTTTATTTAGAACAAGGTGTCTCTCCTTCCTTATAGGCCTACAGCCCCTCTGATTGGATCAAATCAGATATACAGCATGATATATACTGTTGAAACATTTAAAAATAATTTAAAATAAGATTTTCTTTCTACTTGTTTAAATTTCTTACATGGAACTGACAAACTTTTCATATGAGTTGTAAACTGTAACACATTCAAGGTAGTATCAATATCAGAATCCTAGTATCAATGCTGGTATTGGTTCTGGTTCCGAGTATTGTGGAATTTGTACAAGTACTTGTCAAAATGCTACTATCTACAATGGATTAGGTAGCATTAGCATTAGCATTGCACCCACAATGACTGGTGATGCCAGTCATAACCAAGTGCAAATATTAATTGGTGACAGTTTTTCTGTCTATTCTAACTAAACAATAGATGGTTTTTGCCATCTCTAGCAGGTACCTGGAAATATGGAGTGTTAGTGTAAGTTTAGCATTAGCTCCGTGTTAGCATTAGCACCACATTAGTATTAGCACTAGCAATGAAATATAAGTCTATAATTGCAAAGTGCCATTAATCTTCGAGTTGTTCTGACAATTATTTGCCACAATTCGATTCTGCCAAACCCTACTGAGCACTAACAGCACAACATCTTCATTTAATTGTTGTTATTAACTATTTGGTGTTAAGTCAGTCTGTCTGTTAGCATAACACATAATGAACATGGATTTTAATAAATTGTCCAAAAAAATCTCATTGGTTTAACCTTTAGAACTGATTAATCTTTGAAGCCAACTCAATTCAAGATGGCCGCCTAATTTAATCCACCTTAGAAAACAGAAGAATGTCCATATTACAGCCAATTTTACAAATATTGAGCTAAGATTTAGCATCACAAAATATATGCTGAGATGATATTGCTTGAAATTAAATACAATGTTTTGACCAAAATGGCTGCAACTTTTCTCACCATAAGATGATCTTAGTCTAAACCTGTGGCATAATTTTAGCCAACGATATGAATTCCTTCAAGAAATTATAAGCTTTTATTGTCTTTGTTTCACATTACGCAAAATATTCTTAAGATTTTCATAAGCACATATCTTGTCACAGCAGAGACTAATCCGCAAATAAAAAATGTCGCCATGGGAGGTGCAGTTTACACATTTTTCTTGTTGCAAGAACCTCTTCAGGAATATTTTTGAGCTGCTTGTTTACTTTACGTTCTGAGACACATTCCAGAGCGTTTGCCAGGACAAAGCTATGCTTGTGTGCGTAAGTGGATAAGAGGAAGTCTGCATTCCCTCCACAGGCATGCACTTGTGTTGCGTAATCAGCCTCCTTTTTTAAAGTGGCACAGCGAAGTTCACTTCAAAATAAAAAAAAATTGAACTGTTTTTGAAAATTAACAGAATAATTTATCATTGATAATCTTAAAGTAAAGCTCCCATTTAATGTAGAAGTTTCAAGTTTTCTGTTGTTTAGCCACATCCTTTTACACCTGTGGGTAATAAATTGTCTTGTTTGGATGCGTTGCAGCCTACGACTCCGTCCATTCACCCGTCGTTGTGTTTCTGTGTCTTTAGATGAAGAGCAGCAGCGTGAGCGCGAGCAGCTGGAGAGGCAGATCCAGCATCTGCGTCTTTCTGGGGAGGAATGCCAGCGGAGGAAAGAGCTGCTGGAGCAGGCTCTGGCCTCTGAGCAGACCCGCAACCGGCTGCTGGAGGAGGAGCTGCTCAGGAAGAGGGCCTACGTGAAGAAAGTGGAGCGGCTGCAAAGTGCGCTCGCTCAGCTGCAGGCGGCGTGCGAGAAGAGGCAGGAGCTGGAGCTGCGGCTGCGTACTCGGCTGGAGCAGGAGCTGAAAAGCCTCAGGGCGCAGCAGGTTGGAGAAATAAGTCATTAATATTCTTTTTAAACTTTTGACTCTGTTTATGTACATAAATAAGATTTAAAGGGATCTCACACTACTTGCACATGTTGGCCATAATATCTTTTTTCTCTAATCTGCTAAAAGTTGTTTGTGACACATGAAAACTCCTAATTACAATTATCTCTGTTTATTTTATTTTTCACTTAAGCCCRTTGCCATTTTGTTATTGGTGCAATGCGTTCTGGGATGGTGATGGGTTACAGCTGAGACCAAAACACAAAAAGTCAAGATTAAAAAGCTATGTGTGACAATAAAGTTATATTTAGTACAGGGTTGCACGACATTAGGAAAACCTGCGATGTGCGATAACAGCACTTAATGTTGCGATGGTGATGATGGATGATGATTTCCATTCCAGCATAATTCTTTTATAAATATGAACAGATCCATCCAATTGGCCAAATACATGAAGGGCTCCATTTCACTGGTGAAATACTTCAAGCTTCCATCTGAGCGACTACTCCACCTAGGCTGCATTTTTGAGCGCATATCCACTGAGAAACTTGCTGTTTCAGCAACATTTAATTTAAAAAACTGTGCTTTTGAGGTTATACAAATGTTCATAATTAATATAAATAAATTACAAGTTAATAGGGGTATGGAAATTTCTCTTTTTTGTATCGAAAAATTATCGAATCGTGAAACTAAAGTGTCGAACCGAACCGTGATTTTACTGTATCGTTGCACCCCTACATATATACTGTACATATACACTCACCGGCCACTTTATTAGGTACACCACGCTAGTAATGGGTTGGACCCCCTTTTGCCTTCAGAACTGCCTCAATTCTTCGTAGCATAGATTCAACAGGGTGCTGGAAGCATTCCTCAGAGATTTTGGTCCATATTGACATGATGGCATCACACAGTTGCCGCAGATTTGTCGGCTGCACATCCACGATGCGAATCTCCCGTTCCACCACATCCCAAAGATGCTCTRTTGGATTGAGATCTGGTGACTGTGGAGGCCATTTGAGTACAGTGAACTCATTGTCATGTTCAAGAAACCAGTCTGAGATGATTCCAGCTTTA